TGTGCTGTGATTTTGGTTATTTACATATAAAATGATCATTCAGGTTAGAAGCAACAGAATAGCGCTGTTCCTTGTTATTAATTTACATTTTATTAAAACCTGCAAAAACCTTTCTGTCTAGTGATGTAAATACATTTTACAATAGTTTATTGTGCGTGCATATTATATTTAAAGTTGCTTGAGCGAAATCAAGGAGTTTATAAGATATATTCATTCTTTATACTGTAGACGTAGAACATATCCGCGTTTGTGCATCAATGTCTGTAATGTGTGCTGTAGGTGTGAAACTTTTAGGAATCTTATCCATGTTCTAGGCTAGTCAATATTGGTCAGTCAGTCTGACATAAAGGATCCGCAAATTGAAACTGTGACCACAAACACCATTAAATTAAGTGAATTATATGGTAATATTCAGCAATATGCTTTCACACAAATAACTTAAAATAAAATAAATAATATTTTTGAATGTTTCAATATGTGTTGACACAAATGACTTATTTGAATTTTTCAAAATAAGTCAGTGTGGTGTTTCGTTCCTGAATGAATCCGAGTCTTTGAATGAATCGTTTAAATGAATGGTTCAATGACTCATTTGGTTTGCTCTTGAACGAATCAGCATTTTGCACGAATCGGTTGAATGAATGACTCAATGACTCATTCATCAACACAACTGTATTGACTTGCCGCCACCTACTGCCGGTATCCTATCGTTCCCATCATTTCCTTTTGTCTCTTGCAGTCGTTCTTGTTCTCTTAATTAATTTATTTAAGATATTTTCAAGATCTGAAGGATCTTGAGGTAAATTATCAGCTGTCACTGTAGCTACTAAAGTCACGCAAAAATTATATTCAAACTCAAATTTAGCAACTTTTTCATGGAACACTGATATTGATTGGCTGACATTGATTTGTCAGCCAATGACGACGCAGAAATAGAATCTGTTGTCATGTGTATTAAGATAACAAAACATTACATTAAAATAACAGAAATTTGGCTACATTGACTGACGAATTGATTGATATATTTTGATACATAGGCTACCAAAGCACTCAATACATTCTAATAAAATATCAGTTGCTTGATTATATTGGTTTCAGAGAGGCAAAAATAAGCCGCTAAACATATGCAGAGTCCAGTGTATGTAGTAGAATATCAATTTATTTGCATTTGGCAAATGCTTTTTTGTGTGTATAAGAGACATATTAAATTATCAAAACCATGACCTTGCTGTTGTGAGCATTTATGTCAATATAAAGTCTATGACAAGGTGAACAATAAACGGAGTGGAAGACATCCTTAAACTTGGTTAACTTAAAATTCACTCTACTTGACATGGCGTCAAATGCAGGAGGGATTTTCCTTTGAGTATCATTATGATGAATTTATGTATAGAAAGGAAGTGACTAAAGACTTATTTCATTTTTTGGCATCTTTAATAATAACTTGATGGGAACATAATGTCATCTGTGATCTCATGTATCAGTTCCATACAAACTGTGATTCAGTGTGGGTCAGATGTTAAGCTGCACATCATCATTACATACATAATAAAGCAACAGCACGTATCCCAACAGATGTAGGCGAGGGGATTTCCACTATTCCACTCCACAGATGAGTGTTATAATGGCTCTGAGGTTAAAAAATATGGAATTCCCCTTTAATAGAAAGAAAAGAGGCAGACAGAAATGTAGTACACCCTATTTCACTACAAAATCGATGGTTACAGAGAGTTTATTATATATATATATATATATATATATATATATATATGGATTATTATGGTTTCTGTATTTGATTTGAAACTTCCATCCCCCATAAAACATAGAGTTTATTAACCGATGGAATCAGAATAAAGAATATTATTCCCAGAGAAAGAGTGAATACTAAACTAGACAAATCCTTACCAAACAGTAGTATACTATCTGATTGTGTTAGATTACATGTGGAAACATCTGTTGTTTCGGTTTCTTCTTCACTTGTGTTTTTTGGAAATTCTGTACAGAATATGTGTATTAGCGCTCCCTACAATATAACAATGAAAACACAGATTCTAGGAGCACAATTATAGCTAAAATATATTTAGACTTTTTCTAAGTATAAGTCAAGTATACTTAAATGCCATTTTAAGTATATTTCTGAGAAGTACATAAAGCCCATTTCTGAGTTATACATAAAAAGTAGACTAAAAGTATACTTTCCTATTTTAAGTTTAAAAGAAGTATACTAATAGCACACTTGAATAAACTTATTTTTTGCAAGGGAACGGATCATGTGATATCTGTACAACAAAATTATTGATGGCGAAGACATTCTAAGTAATGGAGAACAATGTTCATCTGTAACAAATGACATGCTTGGACGCTCTCACGCAATGAAAGCCATCCCTTCGCAGTATGAAATGTGCTGTTAGTTTGAATGTTGACTTGTGTGTTGTTTATGCAATGTGATGCCTCCAATAACATCAGTTACTGAGATGGACTTGCACTGTGATATAGTCAGTCTGTAGCAATGTGGTAGACTTAACAAATCAGGGTTTCTTTAGGTTTTATGAAGATACATTTATGACTTTTTAAAGACCAAATGAAGAAAATTGAAGGAATACATTAAAGGAAACACAAAACCTTCTCTTAATGTAAATGAATCTTAGCTTTGCTCCCAATCACTAGAATACAGAAATAACTTCTACCATACCTTCTGATCGCACTGTAGAAAAGTGACGTTTTTCATATTTTTGTCTTGTTTTCCAGTGGAAATGTCTGAAGATTCTTAGATCAAGATAGATTTACTTGAGAAGCAAAATGACACAAGCTGAAGTCTTGTTTTATGAGAAATTGATCAAACCGTTTTGATTATGATTAAAACAAAAACAAGCATCTGCCAATGAGCACAGAAAAATCAAGGAAAAACAAGTTTGCCTACTCCATTGGCAGATGTTTGTTTTGGTTTTAAGCATAAACTCACTTAATTTGGTTCAGTTTTTAAAACTTCATTTTACATTTGCATCTCAAGTAAATGTGTTTTGACTGAAGTAAATTTAGATACTACACTCTAAAAAATGCTGGGTTAAATACAGCCCAGTGCTGGGTAAAATAGGGACAAACCCAGCAATTGGGTTGTTTTGACCCAGCGGTTGGGTTACTACCCATGGGGTTGGGTTAAACATTTAACCCAATCGCTGGGTCAAAACAACCCAATTGCTGGGTTTGTCCCTATTTTACCCAGCACTGGGCTGTATTTAACCCAGCATTTTTTAGAGTGTAGGGGAGTTGGAAAATGAGCCTATTTTCCAAAAGAGTGGAGTGTTCCTTTAAATGTTAGAGTACATTCTGCCACAATCAACATTTTTTCCACACCATGTGAATCAACGTTCATATTAAAATAATTAAATCGGTTTGTTAGTCACATAATAAGGGCATTTCTGGATAAGGAAAAGATTGTAAATGAAAGACACTTTAATATATCTGCTCATTTGTCAAATCCTCCATACTGCCCAAGCTGATGAGCACTATACATAAATGTCATTTTGGGGGTTTGGGAGAGCCAGATAAAGTGAAACACACAATAATATGGATATATTTAATTTGACCATTAAAGTGTTATTCATTTAGATGGCTGGATGGATGAATACACAGGGAGAACATATACATAGAACACTCAGTAAAAACAGAAAACATATTGAGTACTCCAAATTTAACTTTATACATTAAAATGTCCATTTGCGACAATAAAGTACACCTTAGCTTGCATTCTTAGAAATAAAAAGGTACAAAAGCTGTCACTGGGGCGATATACGCTTGCAAAAGGTACACCTTTGTACCTTATTTACCATATTAGTACCTACAAATACGTATAGTACCTACAGTCAGTGCTTGAAGTAGGCCGGTACGGTGTTGGGTGTTCAAGCACTGACTTCAGTGTAAATATTAGTAGCCTACCTTTTGAAAGGGTACTGCCTGAGTGACAGCTTTTGAGCCTTTTTTTCCTGAGTACTACAATACACAGAGAGAGAGAGCACAACACTCACAGACAACATAGTAAAGTTAACATATACTAGTAACACAGCACACGGAGACCACAATATACACTGGAAACTCTGCATAGAGAGCAGCATATAGTACAGCCGGATCTCGGCATGTCACAAACCAGTGTTAGAAGCACCAACACCTCTCTCCTATAAAGCTTGTAACCTATGCACTGGCGCACAGCCCAGCTGCACAAATCACTTCACCTCTACGGGAACACAATGTGAGTGTGTCTCTCTATGAGAGTGTTTGTGTGGAGGCAGAGCTGCGCTTTTAAACCCGCCCTCGAGAGGGATCTCATTTCCCCTAAAACCTCCCATTTTTTCCAACATCCCTCCCCACTGCCTCCGCCGATCATCTCTCTCCGTCTGTACCTCTATTCCTGCTCCACTAGCCCAATCATGGACCTCGCAGCGAGGTGTGCGCTCCTGCTCTCCGGCTTCGCCCTGCTCGCAGCGCTCGATCTGGACGCGATTGACCCCGGCTACTATGTGGAGACCAGCAGCCCGTCAGATGTGATCGACTACAAAGATCCCTGCAAAGCTGGTGAGCCCGAAAGACATTTATTTCCCCTGCTTTGATCAGATGCAAGCTTTCGCGCAAGCCACGTAAGGCTGCTGATACTGTGCGACTATAAACTGTAGATGACAGCGCAGAATACGCACGCGATCCGCGGCGTCGGGAAACACTCCAGTAAATACTTTGCGCGAAGTGTTGTCGATAAAACGATTTCTTAATGATTGCGCGGTGTTTTGACACCAGACACGAAAATATTTACCTGGCGGTGTTTTCCTTTGCCAAATCACAGCCGGAAAGTTTTGTGAGTGTGTCCCTCTCTGAGTGTGTGTGTGTGGAGGCAGAGCTGCGTTTTTAAACCCGCCCTCGAGAGGGATCTCATTTCCCCTAAAACCTCCCATTTTTTCCAACATCCCTCCCCACTGCCTCCGCCGATCATCTCTCTACGTCTGTACCTCTATTCCTGCTCCACTAGCCCAATCATGGACCTCGCAGCGAGGTGTGCGCTCCTGCTCTCCGGCTTCGCCCTGCTCGCAGCGCTCGATCTGGACGCGATTGACCCCGGCTACTATGTGGAGACCAGCAGCCCGTCAGATGTGATCGACTACAAAGATCCCTGCAAAGCTGGTGAGCCCGAAAGACATTTATTTCCCCTGCTTTGATCAGATGCAAGCTTTCGCGCAAGCCACGTAAGGCTGCTGATACTGTGCGACTATAAACTGTAGATGACAGCGCAGAATAAGCACGCGATCCGCGGCGTCGGGAAACACTCCAGTAAATACTTTGCGCGAAGTGTTGTCGATAAAACGATTTCTTAAAGATTGCGCGGTGTTTTGACACCAGACAGGAAAATATTTACCTGGCGGTGTTTTCCTTTGCCAAATCACAGCCGGAAAGTTTTTCTTCGTTTGCTTTACGAAAAGTTTCGCGAAAGTTTGAATTGCGTAAATTGTGTAAATTGCAGTTAAAAGTAGCCTATATGCGAAACTTTTCATTGTGATCATCGGATGGTTTGCAACGAAGTTGCAGATTGGGTTGCTATAGCAATGCAGTTTTATTCCCTAGATAGTGTTCTCAGTTTTGTTGTTGGAACACCCCCGGGCCCCCCCGGGGCCCCCGCCCTCCCTTTGCACGGCTCGGTTCCCTGCACAGGGTGCACTACCTCGTCCATCACAGAAGTTGCCCTATGACGTAGGAGGATCAAATTGATCACCTAAGAGTTATCATTGCATACTTTTTTAATTTAAATATGTGAAACTGTAAGAGTAGCATGCTGCATTGCTGCCACATGAACTCATCATATTTCATTCAGTAAGTGGCGCCTTGGAAATATAAATGGTCATTTAGCATTTTTAAATGCGAAAACACTCTTGGCAAACCAATGAAACGAGTAATAGTGAAAGTCATGGTTGATATTATGTTACACAATTGAAAAGTCACATACTGCACACAGTGTCCATGCTATACACTGCATGCGTAGTATAGATGTATGCTGTTTGGCACACACCCGAGTTATAAAAAGTGTATAAAAAGCCTGATGTCCCCAATTTCATGGCTAGACCAGACTTGCGTCATATACCCGCATCTTGCGGAGGATAACTTTATCTTGACCTGAATTCAAGCAATTATGTCTGATATAATTGCGGTTTAGTAGCTCTAGGGATGTAATTCATTCTTTGGGTCCCAACTTAGAAGCACTGTCTATTTTCACATTTCGTGTTTCAGGGCAAGCGCCCTTATTTTGTCGGTTGCCAAAAAGAGGTTATTGAGGTTCACAGCTGAAAATGTTTACTAAGAAAGAATGGTCCCAAATATGGCATGCCATCTAACTAATGCTTGAGATTTCTTCTAAGCTTTATATTTAGGAGGTTTTAAAGTACTTTCTCCAATCCCTGGTTAATATACAGAGACAGCTTGATAGGTTGATTTCCCTAAAGAGTGTAAACACTGTGACTTTGTGGTGCTATCAAAACGTTGCTGTTTGTTTGACCGTCCTGACCCTCAACAGAGCAAAAGTTCCTCCACCAGTGGCGTGAGATTGGGGCGGCATTATCTTTTTGGCCAACCAATGACAGACAAGGGCAGTTTTTTGGGAAGCCATTTTATTTTTGCAATTCTATGACACTAGAAATTACATGTTAACTTTATACTCCATTCTGGGATCAATAATGCAAATTGGAATGACTTGAGAGTGAGTAAATGATGACAGAATTTCCATTTTTGGGTTGAAGTATCACTTGTAGAGATCACGCGTTAACTGATCTGCTAGTAAGAAATTGCTAAATAGAACTTTAATTTAGTTTCTAGGGACAAAAGCACACCAACAGAAAATTAACCGTATTCTTGAGCTTGTGGTGGGATGTTACGGATTTCCTTTGTTTTGCCACCTGCAGGTTGACATTTGATTGGTTTTTACTCCGTTAAATGGATGGATTGAAGTTAATCCAAGTTTCTTGAAGCTCACACGGGTCACTCCGGAGAAGTGTCAAATCGCAGGGATCTTGGTCTCTATTAACTTGTCTGCTACTCCTCTCCACCTCCTTCCCAACTCCCTCTCTTTCATCTTCCTCTTTTTTTACTCTTTCAGGCCTGGTTTTTTTTCTATGTCCTCATTTGCAGCTGAATGGGGCCCTTGGCTGTTCATTTTTACATTTTCACCCCTCTGAGAGACAGACTTTCCTCTTAACAAGCGGCTATAGGACAATAAAGCAGCCCACCAGCTGAAATTGGTATTCCAGGCAGATTAGGCTGGTTGACCCGCAAAGGCTCAGGGGGCGTCGATCTCATACTAGGATTAACTTCCCAGATTGTTCTGTCACTCTGTGATTCAGGCTCTCCAGCGGCGTTAAGCCAAAGCGATTCTGTTTTGGTTGGTGACTCCTCGCTGTCGCATTTTATGCATCATTCAAGTAAGCTTAGCTAAGAGAAGTGGCCCTGTTGGCTTTCCCTATCAATTTGTGTTTGTTTATTTGGTGCATGAACTTTTCGTAAAAAGGAAGCAATGTATTTACACGAGTTGTTGTGAGTCAGAGTTCACTGACCGTTACGACGCGATACGCCGATTATCCGCTCATTCACATCTGTTTGTCTCCTGCTTAAACAGTTAAATCATCACCACGATTTCTGAAAAAAAACCGGGTTGTTGTGAGGTGACACCACTGTGGAAGTAATGCCCTAAATTTGTGTGCTTGTCAGGAAAGAGTATTGGCCGATCCTTCATTACCCCTAATACCTTAATGATGATGTCAATACTCATAGTGCCTGGCTCTCTGACCTGATTGGACTGTTGTAAACATGTCTATAACTTTGGAGAACGTTCGACTTTCTAAACAACACATGTGCTCATACCCTTCATCCCTCTCAGATCTGAGTGGTAGAAGAGGGATGGGGTCTGGGATTGGTTCTGGACGGGGCCCAAACGGCCCAGCTGTAGCAGAGATTATGTGAGACGAGAGGTCTGCGTGCACGAGAGAGGAGTAGGAACACAGATGAAATGTGCCGTGTTTACACTTCATCCAAATAGATGTGGTAGATCAATCATGCTGTCAAACAGAGTTGCCCATAAAATTCGCTAGATATTGATATGTTCATTGAATTGACCTATCGGTAAGCCCCTCCCCTCGAACGCAGATGAGCCAATGGCAGTCGAGTATCAGTTGCACAGACAGCGGAACTCGGACATCTTTAGGTTTCAGCGCCATAGAGAAACATTGGAAGCTCCGAAACTCGCATCGGTTTAATGGTGTTTATGCTACAAAAATGGAAAAACTGTAAGCCTAGGGTACTTGTAACACTAATTCCAGTTATCCCGAGAGGATAGGCAATGTAATTTATGTTAATCCATTTTCTAAATCCAACAAAAACAGAGCAAAATGTCCCTAAGCATTCAATCCCAATCCTAATGAATACGAAAACGTTAATTTTCTGGTTGTCATACTCTCATTAAGTTATACTTTTCATCTGCTCTAGCAGAATATTAATGTTATCTTGCGCTTCAGCAAGGTACGTTATCTCTGGCTAAAACTAGCTAACGTTAGCGTTAAAGTTAGTGAGTCCAAGCTAACGTACAAACCTTAATAGCGAACTGTTCTCACATCATATATCGTGCAGTGAAAGTCAAAAACACATAAACGAAGGTCTATAATCGAGTGCCTCTCCATATTAATCTGGTTAAATGTAAATTAATTTAATCTTACATATATATGAACGGTGTTGATCCGGGATGTTGTCATTGTGATCGTGACGACTGTAACATAATTCTCCCGTTTGCACTGTGATCTGCATTTTTACATATTTATTTTAATATATTTTATATATCCCTCCATGGCATATTTAAGTCCCACTTGAAGGTCCATCTGTGTCCCAAATTTATCAGAAACACCTCGGAAGAAGGTTTTCACTGACAACTGTCATTGTAAGACAGTGAGCAACTCTGTTTGTCCGAGTGAGCAACAGTAACTAAGGGGGGCGGGGGTTACCGATAGGTCAATTACATTACAGCAACACTAGCAAAATTAATTACTTATAAATCAGTTTTTAAGGAAAATGTTGCAATGAATTGATTGCAGATATTTAAGGCATAGTTTTTCCAGAATGAATGTCCACCACGACCTCAGTTGACTACGACTATGTGTTCGACTTTTCATGCATCACCTGACCTGTAGAGGGCAACACAGAGTGGTGTTGTTTTTATACTCGAGTCGTACAATCATGGCAACCTTGTGACTTCCTCACATATCAGTTGTTGTTGTTTCCACATTTTTGTTGTCTTCATTAATGTTTTCCGATTTTGTTTTACTTGTTCTTCAAAAACTGTGATTAGTGAACCCACTAATTAGTGCAAAAAAAATAAAATAATAATTCAAGCACATATTTGACTTTGAGTTGGCATGAAATGGTAATCCACCCTATTTGTTATAGGTCTTACTGTGAACAATTTATCCCTATATACATATATTTTTTTATTTATGTTAAGTTTCTGACCACATAATGTTTAATCAAAATGTCCTAACTGGACCTTCCAGTGAAAACACCAGGCTTATGCAATAATTTAGTCCGCTTAAACTCCGCCTCTTCAAGCTCACCTTCATCTGCCTCCACTTTTGAGTGCAACGCCCACATCTCAACAACCAATCAACAATTAATGCATAGAACCTGCCCTACCCACCTAAGTCCTGCCCTACATTTATTCTTTGTAGATAATCTGTTTCACTCAGATGCATGTCACAGAAAAGATCTGTCGCCATGTCCATTTCATTGTGACTTTAAAATCTCATTGCAAGGCAAAATTACCATGAATAACCACTTAAATGTAGGCATTTTCCTCACTTTTTTTTCCCCCGTATGACATTGGAATAGAGTACAAGTGATGTATGGACCTCTTTATTTGCTGTTTTTCTTGATTTGGTCATTTTTGGAGCTATTATTGTTATTATGAAGTACCATTGTGTGAAGATTCTTCAAAATATCACATCATTGTCCACAGAATTTGTAGAGGTTTAGTTCATGGAGGATATGTTGAGTGACTTTTCACTGAACTATTCCTTTAGGAAAGGCAATAGGATGAATTTTGATTTCATGCTGCTGACTTAAAATGAGAGAATTTAGACCTATTAAGAGAATTCTCT